CTCTGAAAAATGAAAAATCAATGACTAGATATTGATAATCAACTTTCATGTTTATCCTAATATATTTCGCAACGCGTTTCCTGCGCATCTCTCATGTCACTGTTGCGCGCATTGATTACGGACAGGAAAAAAAAAATCCTGTCGGCCGACAATGATAGTAGGTGTGCGGCTTTGCGAGGAGCGCCGGCACTCGCTCGACCGCTCTATCAAAATTACTTCGCGGTGTTCGACTTTTCGTCGCCATCAATCTTTCCTGGTTTGACTGCTAACGCGATAATGCAGTTACGCTGTGCGCCAGGTCGATCGGATATACGGACCGACCGGCCCCCGTCGAATTCGTCATAAATAATTGAATTAAAAGCAACGACGTAAGTGAATTTGCGGATCAACCCGCGGCCGACGGGGTCTCCGAGTGATTTCACCGAACTGATTCGCGACAGCCTCGTTTGCGTCCGAGATTTCAGAGAACCGCTTTCTATTATATCAGAGCTTCTGGGATAATCGCTCTCTCGAGAACGTTGTATTGTTCGGAAATAAACGGTGATGATTTTTTTATTATTATTTATGCCCAACGGATTGTTACAGAGATATTGCATGTAAAGTGCTTTTTTTCATTATGTTAAAAATACATAGCAAACGAGCTCTCCCAAATTTCAAAAATATGTATAAAATTTTCTAATTATTGATTATGTACAATTATATATATATATATATGATTCTTCAATAAATAATAAAATTATACGTGTAACAATAACAAAACAAAAATGTAAGAAATTGATTTTTTCTAGCATTATAGATTTTTCAATTTATTTAATAAGTTTCTTGATCACTGATTATTACCATTTGTTTTTGTTAACATTTTAATGTAGCAAAATAATAAATAATAAATAAATAAATTGTAAATTATTAAGATTAGGACTTGTTGCCTCTTGTATACGTGCTTTCTTTTCTAGGTCTTGTGGCGGCACTAGTTAGGGATGAATGCACTTAAACTGCTGCTTGACTTTATTTTTCTTTTCTCCGATAAAATAATAGGTAAAATCAATAGGTACATATTTTGTGGAATCGAACTTATGATACCGAATAGTGATACCGAACTTAAAACTTACTGAATAATGGCGGAGAAGCACTCTCTATCTCCATTTTCACTGAAAACGCGCTTAAAAAACAAAACAAAAGAAAATGCCTGTTGCATACGCGTCACACTATAACAACTTGGGTACAGTATTTAAATAACATATAAAATGGAAAGCGGAAATTATGCTTGTACGAAATTAGCGTGTACATAAATTAAAAATTTATAAACTAACCGATCTCTTGTTAATATATTATAATTGATATATTTACTTACTTTTTCTCTTATTTTTTATTCATAATTATGTAAACAATATTTGAATTAATTTTTATAAAAAATTCTTTGATCTTTTATTTCAATAAATATTTCAATAAAAATGTAATTGCAATATTATGATATTCTTATTAGTCTTAAAGGAATTGCTTTAAAAGTCTTAGAATTGTAAACAATTTTAATTTTTCTCCAATTTCTTCAATTTCATCTGTTAAAATCTGTTGTTTAATCTGTTGAAATCAAATTAAATGAGCTGATAAGTTGATATTTTCTCAATTGAAATTATCAGCAGAGTTTGTAAATTACTTAATGATCAAATAACATTCGTTATTTAATATATAATAATATTATTTGATAATTTTAACTTGTAATTTATCAGTTAAATTTCATTAAATTAGAATTGAGAATCCCGATGTATGTTTTACAAACACAAGCAAGTTGTTTTGCAATGAATGTAAAATTTCGCGACGTTAGTGCGATATCTTCGTATTACAATTTAGGAAACGCAATTAAACAAAATGATCGTTAAATTATATAAAATAATAGCGAACAAATTAATTAGTCGCTTCAATAAACATTTCGGAAATTGGAAATTTCATAAACACAAATTGGGATAAACATCATATTTTATAAACACACCGTTGGGAAAGGAAGGAATAATTCTCCCTCGATGAAAGTTAAATTTTGTATAAATTATAGATTGCGTTGCGAAAGTATCGATTATACATCATCGGATGCCTGTCTGGGCGAAGATTCGGAAACAAAAAGTTCAGCAGAAGCATAATTGTTGTACAACAATAATTGAATGGCCGACTCTCGGTCATCGATATCCTATAAATTCCATAATGACGAAGGAGGCTGATATTGTGCGAGCTTAGTTCGCTTCTCCTACATGAAAGTTTCTAAGTTCCCATATCAAATCGCCGTCGCTGTAAGAATGTCCTTCCGAATTGGGGCGGATTTGTCGCGGTCATCGGCTTTTTGCCGGCATCAATCTTGCACGCTCCTACGAGCGATTTAGCGTATCGATGCCGAGCCATCGACTACAAGATGATGTGATGCTCAGGAGAGCCGGCTCCAGTACGAGTTTTACTCCTCGACGTTATTATGAAATATTGATGGTTGATCGAAATAGAGATGAGGGATAAAATCGATCTCTCCCGAGGAAAGTCTCGGAGGCTTGATAAAGACATCTCCAACGGCTGCCATTATTGCATCTATCTGTATCCAATACGAGCACGTCGTTTCCGTGGAATCGCATACCGATTGCCGTGCTCTCAGCAGGGTTCACCGGGTGCGTCGCGATCATCGATCGCCTTACCAGGCTGAAGCGTCATAGTGGATGTGCGAAAGGAGGCCATTACGCTCGTGTACATGAATAAATTTGTGTAGAGTTGTTCTATGGTTACACGAACAAGATTAACCACGTACTACGTTCGCGTTGCTATTGCGTGGACATTAGCATAACTTCTCATATGTATGCGTTATCTTTACGTAAATGAACGTTTGGTGAAGCGTCATGAAACAAAAGCATTTCCTAAGTCTGATAAAACATATTAAAGTACGTTATATTGCTGTTAGTGATTTCCCAGAAATATTTTCCTGACAGAGATTAAGAGGAAACTTAATATGATTATGACAGTTTGATACTTGTGCCGAATTGCTATTTTCCCAATATGTCAAAAAAAAAAAAAAACAATATGAATTATGAAGTACTTGCGATGTTTTGTGTCAGAGAAAAAATAAAGAGGAAAAATAATCATGGTGTACATAATAAATTCGTATAATCTTATTACATAATTAAATATCCATATTAATAAACGATTATTCTAAATAAATTTTGTTGTATCTTGGAGCTCATAGATAAAACATTGTAAATTATTTTCTAATTGCCATGATAGCTCTATACGCAAACATAAATTTTGTCACACCTTCTTTTATGAAATGCACTTTTAAAAATGCACGATAAGAACCTCGAGAAGAGAGCCGCGCCTACCAAAAGAGGCACAATAATCATTCCAGAAAAATCGGTCCTTCGTACTTGAAAGTTCCGATTACGACTCGATTCTCCCATTCGTTCGTTGAAAATCGGTCGCTTCTTTTAAGAGTTTCTCGCGACGGCGCAAAGGGTTACGTAGTTGCTTTCTTACCTCGGCATCGGAAACGGTTCTCTCTGCCAAATTGCGAACTTTGCAGTGCAGGAAAGCGGTGCCGCCCAATTGCACCGTAACGTTGGAAACGGTGTTGTTGTCATTCGCGTCGTTCACTCTCTGTAGCTCGTCGAGATTGCTGAACCAAAGGGCCCTCCAATCCGATGGGATGTTCGCGTAGGGCACGCGCCGATCTGGGGGGAAGAAAGACAACCAGCGGGTATAATCACGGTAATTTAATTAAGTCGATTGTCTTGGCGTGGAAAAACTCGACAAACGACGCCGCAATTACCGGCGAGGCTATCGTCGGCCCGACCGCCGGCAGCAAACTTTTTTATCAAGGTAAAGAAAAATAGAAGTTATAAAGGCAACGACGGTGGAGCCTTCAGAAGAAAACACAAACGCGGAACGGAGCCTGAATTCCGCTTGTTTTACCCCAGCCCTCGTGAATTAGAAACTACTTTCCACGCTCGGGCCCTTCTGAATTACCTTGTTATTAAATTTTTTAAGAAGACAACCCGTGTTCCCGCGCGCTCGGCTCATTTCTTTCGATGTAAATCACTGGGGTAATGTGTTGTACGAGTTATGGGATAGTTTGCACATCGCCATAACGACGTCTCGTGGCGTTATTTGAACAGCATGTACAAAAGCGTACGGGATATATATCCCAACAAAGTTTACGCCAAATGGGAGTAACATGTTGTTATCAGATATCGATATCACATAATATAATAATTTAATATATATAGTTTGAAGTGGTTGAAAACAACATAAAATTTTTACATTAGCTGTGTACAGAAGATATCATCGATGCCTTGCCACTTGAAATTAATTTCCTCCGATCAGACGTATAGATATCCGTTTATCATAATTATTAGATCTGCCAATATTACTTTGTAATTGCATGTAATGTATACACAATGTCAAAAAGAAGGTATTACTGCTATGATATACATATGATTATTAGTATTATTAATATTTATATATATCATTACGTAACACTAAAATTCTTACAATAATCGAACATTATTAGCATTATGATGAAATGCTTGTGTTCTTGTTGCTTTATTTAGGTTTACAGTCTGTTTACGTATAATAATATGATATTATTAATATTAGAAATATTTAAATCTAAATATGTAATATTAAATTCAATATTACACTGTAATATTAATGATACTAATAATCATATATATATATTATAACAGTAATAGTTATCTTTCGACACTGTTTATACGTCATATGCAATTCCAAAGTAACGTATACATAGTGTCGAAAGAAAACTATTATAAATATTATTATAAATAATATACATATGATTACTAGTACCATTAATATTACAGTGTAATATTGAAGTAACGTTGACAAATCTGATAATCATGATGAACAGACATTTAAATGCGATGCGTCTGATCGGAAAGAATTAATTTCAAGTGGGAAAATACTGATGACGCCTTTTCTACGATTGCTATTTTCGTTTTTCGCTTATTTAGGAAAAAAAAAATCGCACAGCGTGCCTCTATTTATTTATTTGATCCTAGCAAGTAACGGATATTCAGATCAAAGGTAATAATATTGCGATTGCGATCTTCCACATCGTTTGAATAATTTAAGCGCGCGCTTCACTGCGCCGCTTTGACAGATGAAATTTCTCGTATTTGTGATGCATCCGAATGAGCGAAAGACGCGAGCAAATTTTTTTTCTAGACGTGTGCGCACACGCTTTGTTAAAATTTTCACGAATACGACCTATTTCCGGGCAGCGCAGGTGATTTAGGATGTTTGCCCTCGACAGCAGATTACGATTCAAGGAGACTGCGCTGCTGGTGTGGCGAGCTCGAATGTGCCTGCTTCTCGTCCTGACCTCATTTGAATAATCCATGGATACGTAACGGACGTACATGCCTTTTACGTCGTGCGAACGCGTTTGTAAAAAAAAAAAGGAGAAGAAAAAGAAAAAAAGATGCGCGTGGCGGGGCGCATACACGATGCGCTCTCGAAAACGCGATCGTCCGCGTAGTATTTGCGAAAGTTTATTCACGTTACCTTCAGAAGTACTACGAACCAAATCTTTCAGCACTTGTGGCTTTGCGTGAAAAAAATATTTTTACGAATCACGCTTTCGCTGGAAAGAAGAGAGATTGTGGGATTTGATCAAATATGAAAAATATACTTATTTTTTTATTACTTAGAGAGATACTCTATGTAAAGAGTAGAAATGTAAAGTCTCGAAATAGTCGTGATATGTTTTAAGAAACATAAATTATAAATCAGCCGTTCTAACTTTATCATTATTTTTAAACATATATTTAGATATCTCTCGTATATTCGTACATTCTAAAATTTAATTAAGTTAAGTTTAGTTTGAAGAATTGAAAAATCGCATTCTTTTAAAATAAAAAATAGAAAATAAAATTAATTGATGAGATAAATTAATCTAATAACTAATGAAGTATTGATATTTCCAAAAAATTTGTAGAAAATTAGATATAAATATCTAATGAATAGTTAGTTAGACTTTTAAATTCGATTAGTATGACTTCAAGAAGTAATAAATCTATAAATAGTAAAAAAGATTATGAATAGAGAAAATGTTAAATTTTAATAAGATCCCTTTCCTTTAATTGAGTAAAGTGATAATAAAGGAGCATATCGATAAAAAAGGAGCATTATGTTTATTTCGTTATCAAATGTAATAAAAATAGAAGAAATATTTTATTTCTGGACATTTTGTGTTATATTACATTGTTAGTCTTCTAATGTTACTTATATAAATCCAAATATTTATTATCATAAAACAATAACAACACAACATGATTTTATTAAATGCATTAATGCGTTCGATGATGTACCAAGAATAACACACTGTAGCATATAGCGTATTTCTGTAAATATCTCTAATTCATGAAAATAGATATATTGCGCAAGAAAAGTTCAGCTCTCTCTCTCTCTCTCTCTCTCTCTCTCTCTCTCTCTCTCAACGTGGGCTTTCCGTTTCGGTCGTTTGCGACGGGTGATTTTCGGAGCGACGTGTTCCGCGTCGCATTCCTGTCACGCGACGTCGCTCAGGTGTTTCGATTTTTCATTCGGCTTGCACGATTGCAATACGATTGAACTTCTGGATGGATGGTTAGAAATTAGGACGCGTCAACCTCGAGATGACAACGAGCATTCGGCCTGACAAGTTAATGAGGAATTGATCGGGACAATAAGAGCTCGCATCTCAGCATAATCAAATTGACTTCTTTGAATTAGGAATGAGATTTATCTTTTTGATTAGCATGAAAACGCATGAGACATTATGCATTGTATCGTACGTGTGTCATTAAATTGCAATTTTTTATAGCTCGAAACAAATTTAATAATTTCAGTAAAAATTATTTACTTTGATGAAAATAAATGATCAAACAGTTGACTGTACTGTAGAAGTTCGAGAGCAATAATTTGATCGTAAAATCGATATTCCATTTTCTACCTTTTTTTTTGTCTCACTCGTAAATGTTAAATATCATAATAATAGGAGAATTTAAAGAACCGTATCTGCTTGGGTCGTAATCTAATACATTCTGCCACGTACAAAATATGTAGACGTGACAACGCACTTTGGAAGGATATTTTCTCGGTTCTTCTCTTCTTCAGTTCAAAGGTGCGACGAACAAGATAGCCGAAGAAAAATGCGATGTTCTTCTTGAAGCATACGGCGTATGAAAAAGACCCGTCTGTAGAAGACGCGACGGTGTATACGTGTCCGTGTTTTTCATTCGCCCATGCGATTGCGTTCGAGGATGAATGAGGCATATAAAACACACAGTAGATACGGGCCGTTCTGGTCAGACTAAGTGGAAGTGATTTACCACCGTCGCAAAACCAATAAATTAGACATTTTTTGAAATTGTGACTGATGATAACTGTTCTCTCTGGATAATTTTAGAATATCAAAAGCCGTTTATTTGGATACTCGAATTACTTTCTCTTTTCGAAACTGTTTGCCGCTTTGCGTATTAGGCAAGCTTTTAGCTTAGAGCTTTGCAAGATTCTGACGACTTTCAAGATTTGAACGTTAATACGTACGAATGTTGAAACACATTATTATTTGAGTACGATATTTAAGTAATATTGTATGGCGTTATTTGAAAATGGGCGTAAATGTTCATGAGAAAAGTTGAGTGAGTATTTAATATTTAAATGATATTTAAGTAAAAAGTGCAGATTCACGCAGATTCACATTTATTTATAGACTTTGGAAAACTCTTTTTATTTTTCCATTTTTTCGTTTTCTATTTTTGGATTGAAGAAAGAAGAGAGATTTATCATTGAATACAAAATACAAAAATTCATTTTTTAACTATAAGTACAAACTACAAACAGGAACATAAAAGTTCACTCGAATGTAATGTTATAGATCGATAATTGTCACAGTTCTTTCTTACATGAAAAATCCATTGTTCGAAAGAACAATAGTGTTTTCGATCATGTGCATAAAACATTTTAATGAACTAAACGTAACGTAATATATGCGAATAAAAACTTTCGGTCATTGAATTGGTAATACATGCTAACGAATTTTCTCCAACTTGTATTTCGCTCGAGAAAAATCTCCAATTGAGGCAAATTGTTTCGTCGTTCGATGAGCACGAGATTTTTTTCCCGTGGGAATCAATGTGGAAACTTGACGATTAAGACATGTTGCTGCATGTTTGCAAGCACAATTATTTCACTTGTCAAACATGTACAAAAGGAAAAGAAAAAAAGAAGTTTACTGGACGATGTATGCATTCGCTTGTAAATTCGACGAATTCAATCGTCGTTATATCATCTGTACGACAAATTTTATCACATTATCATTATCATGTAGAATTACTACGTTATCATATCGTTGTATGTTTTCTGATCCACACTCTACGACTCCATAAGAATAAATGTTTTTAAAATTTTCCTTTTGAATCTTTTACTTCCTTAGAATAGAAATCATTAACTGTGTGACTACATTTGCCATGATTTATTTTTAAAATTATTAAAATTATTTCTCTAATACATAAATAAAATTGTTGCATGTGATAAATCCACAATAAATCTTAGTTAGATTCTCTTGATTAGATATCTTAGAATTCTTCTGTTAAGTAAATAATGTAAAAATAAATTCTTTAACTATTATAGATATCCTTTTGGTTGCAGGTATCTCGCAAGTAGAGAA